CAACTTACAAATAGTAGGACTGTTAATCATTCCTTGAGGTAAAACTTTCCATTGATATCTAGTTGGAGGAGCAGAATTGTTAATGGATGGTATAATGAAAGCCAATTTTTCACAGTCTGACTTGTCTAAAGGAATATGAAAAAAAGTAGTCTTTATGGTCAATGATAATTACAGGCCATTCCTTAGGAATCATGGAAGGGGAGGGCACACTGGGTTGTAACGCCCCTATAGGTTTAATAACTGCATTAGCAGCTCTTAAATCTCTTACTATTCTCCATTTTCCTGACTTTTTTTGTACAACAAACACAGGTGAGTTCCATGGAGACAAGGAGAGCTCAATAGTGTTTGCTTGCAGTAAATCATTAACAATTTCCATTAAAGCCTCCAACTTGTGTTTGGAAAGTGGCCACCACTCTACCCAAACAGGTGACTCACACATCCATTGTGCAGGGGCAGAGGAAGAGAAGGAGACTGAGGGTGCTGGGATGCAGACTGGGGGGAAGCAGGATTCCAAGACTGTGAAAGAAGGGGTCCCGGAGTGCCAAAAGAAACAGTAGGCTTAGAAGAGAGGAGAGTTCGAAAAGGATGAGAGGAATGAGAACAAGACCATTTAAATGAATGCCACATGTCCTCCTCTGGCAGAGGGGGAAACGGCTTAGTAGAAGAAGAGTTAACATATACAGGTTCCAAGATAGGAGGCAGAGGGAGGGGATCATCACCAGGTTTCTCCTCTTGGGGAGAAAACAAGGAGAGATCAAATTCTTCCTCATCATCAGGAGGGCCAGTAGGGGGGTCGGCTACCCGAGGTAAAGGGAACGGTTCACTATCCATGTTAACTTCTGGCAGTTGAAGAGGATCACCAGACTGAAAAGGAAGTAAAGCAACACGAATAAGAGCCCAGTCAGTCCAAACAGAAATAGGAAGTAAAACACCATCTCTAATGAGTTGGTGGAGAGTGGTGGCAACTCTATCCCAGTCTAACAGGTCCATCTAGATGTGTATAAGAGACAGGAGATGGGGTTTCACCATATTGGCCAGTATGGTCTTGAACTCCTGACCTCAGGTGATCTACCTTCCTCGGTCTCCCAAAGTGCCAGGATTACAGGCATGAGCCACC